TGATCTTCACTTGACACTTTCCGTGATAAAGGTTTTGATTAACTTTGATTACCAAGTAAGGAAATAAAGACCAAATAAAAACTTGTATCTAATGTCTCTGGTAACATACATCACCATCTGACCGTCATTTAAATAGTTACCCACACACTGCAGCAGACGTTTTTAGATGAACAGTACATACAGTAAGTATATTACAATTGCGCTATTGACATATATTACACATGTTTGATATGAACAGAAGTTTTGTAATCAGACTGTCACTCACGCTGTTTATCTAGTAATAGAATCTCTGTGTAAATATCAGGAAGTGGTTTAGTCCTCTTTATCCCACACCAGTATGTTCCTTCATCCTCTGTTGTCACATTAGTGATGTTGATGGTGAAGACTCTGGCTGCTGTGTCATCATCCAGAGAGAATCTCTGATCTTCAGCAGATCCAGACTGAACAGGGATGTCTTTAGTTCCCCAAGGCAGAGTAGAACATTCTCCTCTGCAGAGATACTTCATGTTGGTCTCATATCCAGAATTATAGGGGCATTTAATCTGAACTGACTGTCCTCTGTGTCCAGTTACAGTAGTTACAGCACTGATTCCAGCTGTAAAAGAGAACATATAAAAACAAACTTAAACATATATAGTGAAGTGTTATGAGTGCAGCATCCACAGCCCTGCAAAGCTTATAAACAATGAAGAAATGTACAAAGTCAGCTGAATTTAACTACAACAACTGTTAGAGCACTGGTGCACTTTGAGCCCCTGCTCCCCGTGTGTTAGCATTATTAGTGCCCTTCTAAATGAGCTCTAAATGCTTAGAGTGCTGCTGTTCAAAACTGTAAACCATTCCTGCAGGTCAGACAGTTTGATTTTGTCCTTAAATGTATAAACTTGCTTAAAGGTGGTGCCTGATTGCACAGTGCTGCTGTACATTCAGATTATATTGCAGCATCAGCACCAGCTTCAAAACAGGTAGTAATGTTAGCTTAAATTTTCACAGCACATAAGACTGAAAGGCACATTGTTTTTATTTACCAATACACAATATTTCACAACAAAATGTTGACAATCTAGAAACAATGCAGAAAGACTCTAATATCAAGATGATGCACTTTGAGAGTCTAAGTTTATTAAAAACTGACAAAGCTTTGTAGCGTTTTAGCCACTGTGGCTACACGAGGCACCAAGATGTAATTATTGCACCATTTATAGTTTTAGAATAATAATTAGAATAAAAAGCAGGCAAAGAAGAAGCTAACTTCATCTTATATATAATCTTATAATATAATCTTAATTCTTGTGTGGTGTTGAGGTCTGTGGAAACCATTTTCAGTGTTTACCAAAAGAAAAAATGATGCGATTTATTATTATTTCAACCTCAGATTCTTGGTCTTTGCTCATTTTCTGTGAAGAACATATAAAATAACCCATTTTCAGTGTCTTCACTCTGTTCACCCCCAACACATTTATATTACACATGTGGTGCTGGGTGAACCCGCGGGGAGTAAAAGTGTGGAGGTGCTGTGTCCTTCACTCTGTTCTCCTCCTACATGGCCTGCTGTTAGTGTGTGTGTGTGTGTCTGTGTGTGTATATAAATATATATGTGTGTGTGTATGTGTGTGTGTGTGTGTGTGAGGGTGACAACATGGACAGGCTGCTGACTGGCTACAGCTGCTAAAGGAGAACCCTACGCTGGACACTGTGATATTTTAAACATCTGGTATTGTTACATACATTTTTATGGCTGTATTGATTTAAATAAACAGTAACGCGGTGGGTCACCAGACCACTGAGTAACACACACATCAACACCACGCAAGGGCTAAAAAAGAAAGGAAAAAAGCCTGTCGCCATAGGGTTGTCTCAATCACAAACACAGTCCTGATCAGGCGGAAAAGTGGAGGCTTTTCAGCTTTCAGCTCCATTTAAATATAAATATGGTTAATGATCTTAAAACCACTTATCTTCAGGATTGTTTTGGTATTTAAAGTCAAGTTGTCAACCCCTGTAACAAGCTGGTTGCAAAAACAGATGGAAACTATGAAGATAAGTTATAATAGCAATAACAATAATAATAATAATAATAATAATAATAATAATAAACAGTAACAACAACAACATTAACAATACATTTTTCTGAGGAACAAAATATGATTATCATTGTATAATTAAAATTAGGTCTGCATGAAGAATACCACACTATTAGAATAATCATATAGTTTTGTAATAACTGAAATTTTGGGGAAGTACCATGTCTCATTCCACTGTACTGCTCTGTAAATTCCCATTTCTATTCTGGTTTCCCTTGATCCAAACCACCTTCTTACCTCCTCCATGCTTTTCAGTCCAATGTCAGTTTTACCACAGTTATAACGGGAGGGGGCGGAGGGGTGGTCTGGCCTTGCATCTCTGGACAGAAGCTGCCCAGAACTCCGGCCCAAGTTCTCAGACTTCTCTTTCCTCCTTTAATCAGCACTCATACTACTGCCACATGGTGAAAAAGCATGATCCAATCTCACAAAATGCCTTTTAGAAACACCCCAGCCCCTGCCCTCACCAGACCACCACTGCCACTGTAAGAGCTAAGCCTCGAGTCAATCTGACCCACCTACATACGCCACTGAAACAGCTGCAGTATCAGCTGATAACAAGGTGCTGTCTTAGAAACAACTGAGCAGTAAATGTGCAACTCACCTGGAAATAAACTGGACACGAGAAGTACAAGCGCCCACATGCTGAACTCTGGGTTTGTAACTCCGTGAAAATGTTTCACGTTCTGTATCTATCGCTTCCTATTTCTGCTTTCGTCACTGCTCAGCACAGAGTGCTTCAAACCACTTACATTTCCTCTTTCTCTCGTTTTCACACTTATCTCTCCCAGTTATCTGATGTCTTGATGTTGTTTTTTTAACTGAAGACAGCATCATTAGTGCGCCTATATCCAGCTGATTGAGGGTTGTCACAAACTCAGAATAATGCAGATGAAATTACAGAACTTTATTGTTATGATCTGTTACATTTATCAAAACATGCGTAGAACATATCTGTGAGTAAGAACCAGCAGCATGCACAAGAAAACTGACATTCATCAAATATGCAATAATCAATGATAAATCCTACACAGCTCTGCTCGCTTACTCAGTCGGCTCATTTACATAAAGATACACCCCTAAATATCCATATATGGCAAACAACTTCCCTTTAAGTCACTGTAGCCTATGAAGCAGATAAAAAGCTGAATTGAAGTGTTGCATATAAATGTTTTAGTAAACTTACTTTTATGTAAAAATACAACTTTCCATTTAACATTTAAGAGCTAAATATGAAATTCTAATGATTAAAATTTTCACTTTTAGGAATTGGAGCATTTAAAATTTATTTAACATTAATTATTTACTGCTAGAACATAATTCCTACTAACAAAATGTACATGTATTTATTTCGAAGAGTATTCATAATATTTGTTTAAATTGAATTTCTGATGTGAATTCAAAGTTAAAGTGTCAATCAATCTGTAGATGTTCCTTTAATACGATTTTATGATTTTATATGATTGTAATGAATAATAATGAGGTCTTACAGTACGAATTTATATTGTACAGTATTTACAAGTGCTAACACCAGTGTGACCTCAGGTTTGTCCAAGGCCAAAATAACAAACCCGACTAACTTCAAGCAGCTACACTAACCAACCTCAGCCAAAACAAAAGGAGCAAACAGAAGTTAAACAGCTTCCCAAATGATACAAAACAGAGACAAAACTCCAAACCCAAACAAAATGGCAGCCAAACCCAACACCTAAGGCCTATGACATGAAGCAGGATTAATGACTTAGCCAGCTAACTTTAAACTCAATCCTGTTCTGGATCTTCTGGCATATGGCAGTGGATCACTTTTCACTGGGACACATCATTATGGCAGCTTCACACTGAAAGGTGTAATATGTAAGGTTTCTTGTTTGAAACATTCCAAAATGAACTAAAATTATAAACAGACTGTGAAGATACACCTGTTTTTGACATTTTGTCAAAGATGTCTATGTGTAGTGTTGCAGAGAAATCTACTGAAGTTAGCATGCTAACCAGCTAGCCCCTGTCTCGTAATACCACTTTCTACCTCAAGAGGTGATAGTGAGTCACTGTAGTGTCAAGTCTGCTTTTGGTCCAACATGAGAGGATGAAGA